CCTTGTGTATTACATATTTTTATGGGGTATGCCCCTATGAATTATGTAGTATGTACATTCACATTTATGTGACAATTTGAGATAAATAAAGATATTGGAATTTTAATTATTTACTCGTATTAAGTTATATTATATATGCATTGTCATAATAAATAATTTATAAATGATGAAAAAAAGTTGTAACTAAACTAACTCTAATTAATGACGAATGTTATTAAATATAACAAAATGATGATTTTGTCACCACAAGTCAAAAATTCAGAAAATATATTCGGGATTGTCACCGTATGTTATGTTTTGTTGACAATTTAATCTTTTGTCATTTATTGTGTGAATTATTGGTGACAAAATACACATTTAGATGACAACAAAATCGATATTAATGTGACACATTTATCGTCACGAAAAGTGATTAATAATGGTGACAAAGTGTTAAAACGTCATTAAATGTAATTTATTTGGTGACGAATCCGAAATTTGTCACATATACCTAATACCACGGAGCTACAATGACGATCACTGTGACGCTCATTATCCGTCATATAAAAGTTTTAGTGACAAAAAATGAATTTTACATGACAAAAAATTTGTCATATTATGCCAAAATTCTTGTAGTGCTCGCTGCCATAATTATTTTGTTTAAATATATATCATCCTTATTGTCACACATTTGTTCAATGACATTGTCATTAATGCATTATTAATAATGATAGTTTCATTGTCAATGTCTTGACATTATCACAATAATGATAATATTAGGATAACAGACAATGTCATGTTGCTAATTGTATTCACAATCCTAACAAACTATGTTAACATTGTCATATTTATTATTCATTTTTTTTTTTACTTTCTACTCTTTTGTATTTCACACAATTATGTTAATTATCAAACACTGACTTCATTACATTGTCATATAATGACATTTTATAATGCATTGTTATATAATGATTTAATAATACATTGTCAAAAATGTGTTGTTTTAATAAAAACAATGTTCTGTCAAAAAAAAAAAAAAAAACAATGTAATTTTTTACAGCATTATCATTATTTTTAACAATGTCATTTTTTATAGTATTGACATCATCACGGCAATCAATTACATTGTCATTCACACAATGTTAATGACATTATTTTTAACAATGTCACATTGTTGTTTTTATCTTTTTTGACTTGCTTTTTTTTTACTCAATGATATTAATTTTCTAACAATGACATCTTTACATTGTCATATACTCCGTAATCAATATGATATTCAATATTGACTTTAAGTTAACATTGGAATTAGGAGATTGTCAATGGGTCATTACTACTCATCTGGTTCTTTTTTATAACTAGACGTATTTATATTACACTTTATTGAGTACATGACCTTATGTGATAATTTCGTAATAGTAGAATGCTTTATTTGACCCTTTTCCTTTTATGAACTTTAGACAATACCAAAATGGTGAAGCAATGGCAATGTCAATAAAAATGTCACAAATTTAAAATGGTATCACAATCTCAAATATTTTCATTCTAAATATTGCCACAACAAATAATGCCACAATATTTTAAACATTATCAAAATGTAGAGAAAATGTCACAATTTCGGAGCAATGTCACAAATAGTAATGACAATATCAACACTATAAAAATGACATTGTAATAATGACAATCCTTATGTCAATGACTTTCGTAACAGTGTAAAGTTTATAAACATTGACATTTTTAATAACAACATCAATGCTATAAAGAGTGACATTATATATAGAAATATATATATATATAGAGGAAACTTCATGTCAGGCCGGCCTGACGGGCAGCCCCGTCCGGCCGAGCCTGTTTGGGCACCTTCCCGGTGGAATTTTTTGATGAAATTTTTTGAGCATGTTCCTCATCAAATCTAGTTTGTCCATACCAAATTTCAGCTCAAAATTCGATCGGGAAGGTCGTCAAATGATTTTTGCAAGTTAACTGGTCCGGAAAATACATATTCCGGACCAGTTAACTTGCAAAAATCATTTGACGACCTTCCCGATCGAATTGTGAGCTGAAATTTGGTATGGACAAACTAGACTTGATGAGGAACATGCTCAAAAAATTTCATCAAAAAATTCCACCGGGAAGGTGCCCATTCAGGCTCGGCCGGACGGGGGCAGCCCGTCAGGCCTGCCTGATGAGAAGAGCCCTATTTATATATATATATAGGGCTCTTCTCATCAGGCAGGCCTGACGGGCTGCCCCCGTCCGGCCGAGCCTGTATGGGCACCTTCCCGGTGGAATTTTTTGATGAAATTTTTTGAGCATGTTCCTCATCAAGTCTAGTTTGTCCATACCAAATTTCAGCTCACAATTCGATCGGGAAGGTCGTCAAATGATTTTTGCAAGTTAACTGGTCTGGAAAATACATATTCCGGACCAGTTAACTTGCAAAAATCATTTGACGACCTTCCCGATCGAGTTTTGAGCTGAAATTTGGTATGGACAAACTAGACTTGATGAGGAACATGCTCAAAAAATTTCATCAAAAAATTTCACCGGGAAGGTGCCCAAACGGGCTCGGCCGGACGGGGCAGCCCGTCAGGCCGGCCTGATGAGAAGAGCCCTCTATATATATATATATATATATATATATATATGTCAATGCTTTTGTCAATGACTTTCGTAACAATGTAAATTCTATAAAAATTTACCTTTGTAACATTGTAAGTTCTATAAAAATTGAAATTGCATTTAACTTCCGCCCTTGGTTACTCCTATTTATGTTCAAATGTTATGTTTTAATTCTATTAGTCTTTTTCCCGTAAGCTAAAGATAAGAGTTATCAAATCGACATTTAACTTCATTCATCATCCGCGCAATGCATGGTCACATGACTCACATTGACTAAGCTAGTGTGATAGAAGATTGTGTCAGAAGTAAGGGGTGATTATTGAATACTGGTTCAAGACCAATCCAAACCAGAACCGGTTTGAGTTGAAACTGGAATCACCAAAGTTATTGAACCGAAATTCAGCCTGGAATAATAGTTTTCGTCCAAGATCGGAGTGGGCCAAATTATTTCAGTTTTGACCAGACTAAACTATGATACTCCCTCCGTCCCAAAATGGTTGGCTAATGTTGACTTGCACATGGATTAATAAAGTAAAAACTGTGTGGTTGAAATTTGGGCAAAGGAGAGAGAATTAACTTTAGTCACATATTGCTTACTTTAAATGGAAATGGCCAACCTTTTTGGGATGGCCCAAAAAAGAAATTTGGCCAACCATTTTGGGACGGAGGGAGTATAAAAGAGTGTTTGGGTTTGCTTAAAAAAAGCGCTTTTCAGCTTTTGGCTTAAAAAAAGTTGAAAAGAGTGTTTTCAAATGACAGCTTCTGTTTAAATTAATCACTTAAAAGCTAAAAGCTGGAAGCAGGTAGAAGGGTGCTTTAAACTGCTTCTCACTTTTTCTATTACACAAAAAGTACTTATTTTACCAAACACTACCAACTTTTACTTTTCCAGAATCACTTTTTTCTCAAACACTACCAACTTTTACTATTAATCACTTTTCCCAAAATCACTTTAAAAAATCACTTTTTAAAAGTTGAAGCAATTGCAAACACTACCTAAGTTTGTGATAGAAGTAGGGGTGAACATCTGTCCAAGATCGATTTTGTACTTTTGATCTTATTAAAAGTACAAAACGTTGCCCTATAAGAATTGAAAGAGTCATAATTTAAGTACGAAATTATGATGGTTTTATTTGGATACTTTATCTAACTTTAAGTCTCATTCAAGGAATTTCCTCTTTAAATTACTACCTTTACCAGAGTTTTAAATCACGGTTGAGGTCTAAGGGCATGTTTGGCACAACTAGCTGAAAAGATACTTTTGCGAGCTTTTCAATAACTGTTAGCTTTTAGTGACTGAAAAGATCTTAAAAAGAAAAGGTGGTAGCTGTTTGATAAAAAGCTGACTGTTTGATTTAGTTCGGTTTGGTATACAAGCTGTTAGGATTAATTAATACTAAAAGTCACTAGCTTTTCTTAGATGCTACTCCCGGTAGCATCTCAAAAAAGATCTTTTAATTTTTAAAAAGCTCTTAAATATTGTCATGCCAAACACACAACTAGAAACTTTTAGGAACTTTTTGAACAGTACAAAAGCTAGAAGTCAGGGACTTATGCCCGCCAAACATAGCCTAAGTGTCAGTTGCAGTTATTGCGGTTGCTGTGTTACGTACTTATTATTGCAGTTGATGTAGTGTGAATTAATCAATTTTTTGTTCAAATGAAATAGGAATCAAATAAAATTAGTGTTGTGATCCGGATGCGGCCTCGTTGTGGTTATGTTTCGGTCTTTCGGATTTTTTCCGTGCATTTTCACTCCCATTGTGACCCGATGCGGTTGCAGAACCGCGCGCAACTGCAATATTGCGGCCGCATCTGGCCTTGCGGCCCGCAATTTAAAACTGTGACTTTCTCCTTAGAGCATCTTCATTCATGATACTCAAGTTTACGGTTTTTTATGTTTTCTTATTGTCATGTCACTTTCACATAAGATTATCTCAAATAATCTCCAAACCTATCAATTTCTCATCATCCATGAACTTAATTTACCTAGACTTTTTATGAGACATGCACGAACTACAAAGCTAGTCATCACCTTAAAGTTGGAAATAATCTCAAAATAATCTAGTTTTAGAATTTGATACCAGATTATTTTATTAAATAACCTCATAAAATAATCTCAACTCTTCATCCATGATCCAAAAAAAAATCCTCCACATCATCAAAATGATACCAAAAATAATCCATGGATGGAGATGCCCTTAGGTGTGGGACATTAGCAGGTAGTACAATTATTGAGAAGCAAAAATAAAATAATGCTTCATCCGTCTCATTTCATTTGTCAAACTTCCCTTTTTGAGTTATTATCCCAATGTAAGTGTCACGTTTCTTTTTGTGACAAGAAATATGTGATCGATCTTTAACATATTATTTTATTAAACTCAAATTTCAACCATAAATTTTAGTTATTTAATTAATTTATTAATAATTGTGTCAAATGAAAATAGGGGACATACATACTCTTAAATTTGATAAGGAATAATTGGTCTGCCATGATAGAAAAGTCACACAATCTTAATTTGTGGGACATAGAAAATACGCAGTAATATTTTACCTTTGTGACTAAAGTATGATACTAGCAGCAATGTTCTAACTCCCACGGCCCACCATTACCAGCTAGTTAGTTGTTACTCCCATAGTAGACATTGTCGTCGTCCGCAGAACTCAGATCTCCGGGCATCCTAAGATGCTGCGGAATATCCCACACTTTAGCTGCCACGTCATCAATGTCAAGGGGATATTTGACTAGGGAAAGTGCTGGGGGTAGAAACGTATTGGCCTCACTCATTTCCTTCATACACATTTTCTTCAAAGTTCTAGCCCTAGCCCTAGCCCTAGCTTTTGCCCTAGATTCTTTAGCAGCAACGTCTTTCATCGAACAGTCTTTTCCTCTTTTGTTAGCTTTTCGCGTGGACACCCCGTCACTCACGGCGGAATACGGCGAACTGTCTGCGGCGGCGTGGGTTAGCTCTTGAATGGCGAGCTTCGATTTGGCGAATAACCAACTTAGGGTTTTGCTGGGCTTGTCAAAACCCAAGGTGTCTTGAAGATGGAAGAACTTTTGAGCTATGGAGATAGAGAGCCTGACCCTCCGGTCCCTTTGACCTTGAGCAGTCATTATTTTAGTACGGTGGTCCTTTTTCTTCGCCGCCGTCTGCTCCGGCCTGCCGGAAAGCAGCAAAGGTTTCTTTTTTATGCGGAGTTGGCTGGTATTGCCTGCATTATCATTTCTATAACTACTATGGTCGTTGATTTTGACTCCATTGTTGGTGGTTGGGTTGACCAAAGTATTGAATGAAAATTGGTGGTCCCGGAAATCAGGAAGGAGGATCCAGTGATACCCTCCGCCGTGGGAGGTGGCGGAGCTTGCTGAGAGGTGAGTAAGGGCGTTTGGTTGGGTGGAGGAGAACATTATTGCTAATTAATTAAAGCATGTACTCTACTTCCTCGAACTTACTATTTAGAGAAATAATTGAAACAATCGTGGAGAAGGACAGGAGGAAAAGAAAAGAGTTAGGTGGTTTCAAATCATAGCAGACCAATCCCTGAGACTCCGTATATACCTATTCGATTGCTGTGGCTGTGTGCTTAACGTTTACTCATCATAGACCCATCTTTCACCCACTTGCCAAAACAGGAACGTACCCACACTAGTCAGTGTTGCTTCTTTTCCTTTTGTGGTACATCGATGTGTCAAATGCTAAGAAACTATAATTAGAACAAGTTAAGTACTAACAAACTAGAATTAGACACCAAAATTATAATTCCGTTTGGTAATACAAAGATTAACTGAATTGATTCAATATGTTAAAATGGTTAAATCTCTGGTTGAATCGGCTGAATCTACTAAATTAAGAAAAAATATATGAAAATAGCGAAAAATAACTTCATCCAAATCAACAAAAAACTAACTCCATGCTTACATATTTTGATCATTATACAATTTAACGCGGACCCGCACGGGTAGCTCAGCTGGTCGAGTGGTGGGAAAATTGGAACTATGACCAAGGTTCGAATCCCTGCAGCGACCGGGTGGAGGTCACAGAACCTGAAATAAGGCTGGGTCTCTGGTGCGCACGGGGTAAAGGCCTACTGCCACTCTGCTGACTGAGTCACCGTGACTTACATCCTCCCATGTGCTATGTCGTGTCGGGGCGTGGGGGGCGCTTAGGGTTGGCGATTCAACCTTTTGGAACTATACAATTTAACGCGCATAATCTAAAGGCATATTACCTCCGTGCGGGTGAACTTTTCCAAGTTAGAATTAGGTGACAAATAAAGAAAAGCGAAAGTGTGTGATATAATTGAGGTTTGTGCAGAGGGGAGAGAAATACACAGAACCACAAATTAGTTACTTTAATATGAAAGTGACAAAGTTTTTAGAACAACCAAAGGGAATGTTGACACAGTCCAATACTCCAATGGAACATAGAAAAAATTATTTAAAAGAGTAGCTGATACACCGAAATAATTTTGGGTTAGAGAATGGACTCCTAGTATAGAATAGTTGAACACTTGAGCGAAGAACTTTGGAATTAGATAATTAAGTTCATATAAGAGTATATTAGTGTGTTTAAGGATGTTTTCTTTTGAACTGTTTTCAGTCTCAGACCAGGCTAGATCAAACCAGACCATATCAAACCAGCAAATTTCAATCCAAAAGAAAACATCCTAACTCATTTGATTTCTACCCTCATTAGCATTATATGGGGCGAATTATGTGTACTCTAATAATCTGCGAAAAGAAAACATCCTAACTCATTTGATTTCTACCCTCATTACCATTATATGGGGCGAATTATGTGTACTCTAATAATCTGCGTATCGTAAAACTTTCTAGATTAATAACATAGCCTTATATAGTATTTGGCCCAGGCCCAAACCGGGGGGATTTAGGGGGCGGGTCCGGGGTTACATAATTAGGGACCGGCACGGCCGGTCCGGGCCTGGTCCTGAGTTTTTGTTGTTGTTGTTGTTGTTGTTGTTGTTGTTGTTTTTTGAGTTTGGATTGGGTTTAGGTGGGATGGGATGGGTGTTTTCGAGGGGTTTGGGGGATGGGGGGATGGGGGTGGGGGTTGGAATAATTAATAAAACCCAAAAAATATTGAACCAAACCGGCCTGGCCCGGTACCGGTAGACTCCCGGGCCGTACCAAATAAACTCCAAGCCCGGCCGGGCCCAGGCCTTAACCGGAACCGGACCAGGCCCGATCCACCCCTAAGCAATAGGGGCTAATTTGTTCACTCGACTCGAATAAGTCTAAGGGCACGTTTGGCACAACTAGCTGAAAAGATACTTTTGTGAGCTTTTTAATAGCTGTTAGCTTTTAGTGACTGAAAAGATCTTAAAAATAAAAGGTGATAGCTGTTTGATGAAAAGCTGACTGTTTGATTTAGTTCGGTTTGGTATACAAGCTGTTAGGATTAATTAATACTAAAAGTCACTAGCTTTTCTTAGATGCTACTCCCGATAGCATCTCAAAAAAGATCTTTTAATTTTTGAAAAGCTCTTAAATATTGTCATGCCAAACACACAACTAGAAGGTTTTAGGAACTTTTTGAACAGTACAAAAGCTAGAAGTCAGGGACTTATGCCCGCCAAACATAGCCTAAATGTCTCTTGATATTCATGAAGTGGAGACTTTGACTTGCACAAGGGAATTTGCATGTGGATAAATATTTTTTTTTTGAGAGAATGATTTATATTAAAAGCATAGAATCCAACTAAACAATAAGACCAGATACAGTACCACATTAATTTTTGATACCAAAAAAGCTGGTGACTCCCTAGGTATGAGGGTTTGGTAGAAAGCCGTCGTAGGTGGCGGCGCTTTTCTTCCGATTTTTTATTCGGAGTTCATACTCGGCTTTGTGATTCGAGTTTGGCTTTGTGACTATCGATCCAGAGGCTTAGTTTCGAAGCTTTCGTACGAAGGCACAGTCGCTCGAGACGATTTTTTTGGTTCGTTGTTTGTTTTTTGCATAAGGTTTTTGAGGCAGGAGAATGGAGGATATCATAGACAAGACCAAGGACATGGTTATAGGGTGATTGGTTCTCAGGCTGGTCCGAGGGTCGGTGGCTGGAAGTGTTCCATTTATCTCTTTTGTCCCTTGCTGAATGTTTCTTTATCAATATAAGCCGTCTTTTTCCAAAAATAAAATAAAAAAAGACGAGATACAGCAGACAAAAAAGAAAGACCAAAAAACATTATTCGATCATACATCCTGGCCACTGGGATCAGATTCAGACACTATCGCCCACTCAGGAGCAATAGAATTCGCTAATCCCCACTTGTACAACTGTAAGCCAATCATGATCGACGATGTATTGTCGTCACTTATCCTATGTTGAATTTGCCACGATCCAAGAGTACAATAACATTATTGTAGATCTAACACTAAATTAAAGACATTATCGAATTATAAAGCAACGTAACCAACCATAGTGCGGAAGTAAAAAAAATAAAAATAAAAACAGGTAAATACTACTCCTTGTCATTTTAATACTTTTTTTTCTTCTCAAATTTATGCTTTTTTTTTCTAGTGTTATTATGCATATATAATGTTTTTTAAATTCAAATCTTAATAATATTAACGTTTTTATTTTTAAAATTATATTGAAATATAACTTTCAAAACTCTATATTTATTTTATTCTAAAATTTGATTTTTAATCATTTTAAAAATATTTAATTTGGGTTTTCAATTTGTGTTGGTTTTACGGTTCTGATAAGCTCGTATTACAACACGCTATTGATTCCTGTTGGGATAGGCTTTTGATGGTTTTCCTAGCTTTTAGGTGTCACAGGTCTCAATTTTAGCTCAAGTTATGTTTACCAGGCGTTGGTTCGAGTTTTGTGTTGTTTGGAGTCAAGTTCAGGAATTTAGAGTCTGACACTGGCGCTTGAGAAGTAATCGGGAAGAGTTGGAGAGCATTCGAGAGAGATTTGAGAGTTTTGGAGGCCACCGGGAGGTTCACGACGAATATTTGATGAAGAAACGGCCTTTGGACCGATCAAAGTAGCATCTGGGAGCGAACGAGGAAGAAAATAGCAAGAAAACGGTTCTAGAGCAGTCCGCGCGCCCTGCGGGTCAGTTCCGCACGCCCCGCGGGTGATTCTGAGAGCAAAAAGCTAAGGGGTCTGAACCGCACACCGCACGGCCGAAACCGCACACCACGCGGCCGAAACTGCACACCGCGCGGTCCATAAATAGCCCCCCAGAAGTACCCGCACGGTTGCATAGTGCGGTCACCCGCACACCGTGCACGCGGAGTAAAAGTCGGAGACGGAAAAAAACGCGCGCGTACCCGCACGGTGACATGCACGGCGTGCGGTCAACCGTGCAGCCTGATTTTCGGCATGTTTTCAGATTTGTCTATAAATAGACCCCAGTTTTGCCTGTTTTTCACTTATGAGCTTATAGAGATAAACCCTATGTTGACTTTTGAGAGCTTTTCAAGCCTTATTCTTCAAGATTAAGGGATTCTTTGTAAGTTCTATCTGGTTAATTAATGACAATTATTTGTATTCATCCCAATTCCGTTGATTATTCAATTATGAATTGCGAGTAGTTTTAATGAGGGATTTGGGATTGATGAAGGGGTTATTCATGATGTATGGCTAAATTCATGATGGATTAATTGTATGAATGATGTTTAATTTGTGTTTGATTAATTTAACTGATATCTCTTGTAACCTGGATGACCACTAGAATTACAATTGCATGTAGAATAGATTAAGAGAGATCTAATTTGTTCTAGGACACATTCACACACACTTAATCGTTCGCTAAAAGGTTAGTAGCAATTAAGGGACCGTAAGCTCGTTCGACTTGGCAATAATTTAGGATCCCGTCGCATGAGAGATCTGCCTGGTCTCCTAAATTATTGTACTCTACGCCGCGAGAACGGTAACAACTTAGTAATGATCACCTAGGCTCAATTAAAATAATTTCATGTAATTAAACCTGATCAGCCAGAAATCTGAGTACCCCGGAATCGATCCCTGTTCCCTTCGTCATTAATTAGAAAGACCCCCCCTAGTTTAATCGTTTTATTCGCATTAGTTTTATTTTCCAACCAATCAATATTCTCGCACGACGCTTTTATTATATTTATTTGTATCGCTGAATTTAATTAATTCTTTATTCTCTTTTGTCCTTCCCTGTGGAGACGATACTCGTACTTACACCTTTATATTACAACATTTTTAAGTGCGAGAAAACTCACATCAGTTTTTGGCGCCGTTGCCGGGGACAATGTCGGATTTAAGGGTTAATTAGAATCTGTGACTTGTTTTTAGTTTTTCGTAAGATTTTTGTCTGCTAACCTTGCAGGTCAGTCTGTTTATGCATACACGTTCAAAGAAGGGAGAACCGCTAGTCCCTCTTAATCCTGAGATTGAGAAGCTTGTTGGACAGATCCGCAAGGCGTTAAGAGAAAAGAACGCAACCATTGAACAACCATCTTCATCCGGAACAGCTGGGACGTCTGAGGTTCAAACCACCTTGATTTTTACGTC